GTTATGCAATACCATAGCTCTGATGGTCTATTAATTCTGCTGCAAGTATGTAAGCGAATTGATTCATGAATCAGAGTGTGTCTTTCTGGACAATTATTTTGCCCAATGGAAATCCATTAATCAGTGTCAGTTCCCCTATCAGTATGAAGTGAGCGAAACACACACTGGAATGCTATCAGTCTGGTTGATGGTAAAAATCTGTCATCTGCCTTATACATGTACTAGGAACACTAACCAATCTACAGCTGTACAGCTTTAGTTTAATGTCAGTTTATGGTAAGAGGGTATGTTCTGTGAGATGTCCTTCATTCACTTGGGGTTTATTTGCTATGGCTGATAAGAGGGATTCATTTATTAACTGTGTTCCCCTCTGTACCTTCACTGATTTTATAGCCATTTATCTTGTTCATTCTAGAAAGCAGTGGCAACAATAATTTGTGTATAGAGTAAACTTTGGGTGTGTGTGTGTGTGTGTATGATAAAAAGTGAAGCTGTTAAGTTTCAGTTTGGGTAACACATTATCTGCCAAAGCTTCCCCAGATGGCAGAAATTGGATGGAAAAAACAACATCGGAATGCGATGTACATGTATTATTTAAATGGGGGGAGGATGTGTCAACTATCAGTTGCTGCATTCCGTAGGGTGTAATCTTTTTAACTGTCATCCATTGGAAACTTAGCATATTCAGATTAGAAACATGATCAGCCAATCAACATCAGAATCACCAACAGACCATGACGACGATATCTTCAATAGTAGAAATTTACGTCTGTTGTCGGGTAACAAGCGGAAAATAATTTAGTGCTAAGACAAGGCACTGTTTGAAATTGTAAAAGAAATATATTACTACCATATTTGGTTTATTAGAAGCGCAATTCCAATATAAGTGTACCTAAACCAAAAAATCACATATGTCATTAAAATTACAGAATCATTAAAATATTAATTATTTTGATCACAAAAATATCTACGAATTAACAGAAGTACATGTGCTACTGGTAGAACAAATATGGAACTATGACATACTTTTAAATTAGTTAAATACCATTTAGGAAGAAACATGCTAGGACCTTGTTTAGCTAAAGTCATTGTAAGACCACTCACTGTCAAAGGAGACATATTTGTTTTGACAGTGATTTATGTACCCCTAGAAAGTACTGAATGTGTGACCTGTAGGCAGCGTGTTAGCCAGCCACCAGTCCACCCAACAAACGAACTGACAACATTGATTTTGGACTGGCAACTTTTTCCCATTTTTCTGCTTTTTTGTATTGTTCTTTTAAATATATCCAAAACCATCTACATTTTTCATGAAGTTAAATTGTTTTGGACTGGCAGTTGCAAATTCCTGTCTACTAGCCTGCCTGTAGGATATCTTGCATACAATCTCTACATTAATTAAGGTGTCAACAATGGTAACCTTGAACCCTGGAGAGTGTATTGCAGGAAAGGACAGGGTATTGGACAAATACAGTATATTTTTCCACTACAGTCATGTTAATTATTTAAATTGCCTGAGTTTTTTACCCAGATGAACACTCAAATTAACTTAATTTCATTATTCACAAAATAAACCCACATTATTTTTTTCGCATTATTTTTGTCAAAACGTGTATGCTGCAATATAAAAAGGATGCCCATTTGTTCCAAAAGAAAGAAAAAAAAATACATAAAAATGTGGTCCAAAAATTTTGGCAGAAAAAAATAAGGTATTCAGAGTCAAAAGAAAAAAGAGTCAATTTTGAATATTACAACCACGGTTACTAAAAAAGACGGTTAGGAAACGAACCATGTTCTTTTCATTGGATGCGTGTCGCGGGAAAACATTTGAAACAAAAGACGTACTAATCTGTGATAAATTATTCACATAAAATGTAGACAGAAAATCATGCAAATATGACGTAATTTTTCCCAGAGTTCATTGCAGTCAACAACTGCACGCCATTTTATTGTGTCTCTGTCGATACTTTCAGTAATACTAAACTGTAAGTTGTTCCAGTGAATCCTGACAAAACCTGTCGCTCAGTTCAAACTCAATACAAATTTTCCTGTCGTGTATGGCATTTTTGTTTCTAAAGAACAAGATCGGCAGAAAACTAAAACAAAAAAACCAACAAAACATGATCAGAAAAAAAACACGTCAAAGAAACCATACAAGTGTTTATATTTCAGCCATGCGAAAGTTTTAATGAGGAGCCATGACAGCACATACATTTTGTTGGAAATAAACAAAATATGCAATAAGATAACTGAAATAACTCGCCCATGCTCTACAAATTGCATGTAAGTTGGCCAAATATGCAACAACAGGCAGTTCCAATGAAATTAAGAACGGTTAAAAAAGGTTCGAAAAATTGATTTGGCGAAGAAACTGCTAGAAAGTTGTACCGACAGTTCAAAGTGTTCAAAAATTGTAGCGTGGACTAAAACCGCATTTAACGGCACGCTGAATATTGCAACATGAAAAATTTTCCAAAAAACTGAAACAATTACAGACAAGAACAATTAAACAGGCATTTTATGAAACTGGAGGAAAATGTTGAATACATTTTCAACGATTTCTACGGCGTCTACAAAAAAAGTGTTACGACTTTAAACAAAATGGCTGATACAGTGACGCAAAAGCAAAATGATAAAATTTACTCTAATAAGCCCCCAAATCGCACACA